TCGATTTTTTCTTGGATGAGGGAAGAAGAAGAGAGCCACTACCTCTATTTTTCCTCTCTGATTTCACCAAGTACTTGCATCTCTCCCTCTCTCTCTATCCACACTCTACTCTTTTTTCTTTTGCTTGGAAGAATTGAGTGAGACTTTAAATGCCTCAATCATGCTTTTGTTTGGAACCAATAGATACAGCAGCCGTAAGGACCATTCTTCTCCTAACTCCTTAAAGGTAAATGCTTGAGATTTATTTGGATTTCCCCTAACTAACTAAAGTCTAAATTCTTCAGAGATGTTAATTAATCGTGGAAACAGGTGATGTAGTAGGGCTTAGCCATTTAATTTCCAATCGTTTGATAAAAATTTATTCAATTTAGAAGGCTAGGAAGTTTTAAAATAAAATAATGGACTTATTTAAGTTTAGCCTTATTTAATTTTAACTTGCGTGGACTTATTTTAGTTAAATCTAATCTGAATTATAACTAATTTAAAAGTAGGAGTAAACAGATTAGGAAGTGCAACCCTTGGGTTTAAGAGGATCGAAGCAAGTAACCATTAGGTTTGGATGCGAGAGAACTAACATTTGCTCAATCTCGATCCCAATCTCACACACGTAGGGATCACTAGCCGTTGATTTTAGCTAAGGTGTAATAGTAAGCAATGAAACTAGTCTTCCTTCTCTCTCTCTCTCTCTCTCTCTCTCACTTCAGCTAGTACGATCGAATGGCTCAATGAATCGCATGCTCCAGACATTACGTAGCTCTCACTCTCCCTTGACTAGTAGGACATCCCCTACGCTTTTGGTGCGGAGTCCAGATATAGCTATGTTCGGACTCCAATAAAATTGAGACACCTCTTGAGTAGTCTTTTCTATTTTTTATTGAAATTTTCTTGTCAACTTGACTAACCTGGCCTTAAAAAAATATTGTTCAAATCTTAGGGCTGAGCATCGGTGCTCTTCTTTCAAAATGAAATACAATAGGAAAATCATATTTTTTAGGATTTTATCTCAAACAACTTTTTGTAGCTACTGAGAAAGAATAACGAGGTCAAGGCGATGAAGATGAAGATTTGTTTGGAGGAGGAGAAGCCGATGAAGATGAAGACTTGAATGGATAAGGAAATGATGATGAGATGAAGATTGGTTAGGAGGAGGAGAAGACGATGATGTTGAAGACTGGTTTGGAGGAAAGGTTGATGAAGAAATGAGAAATAATAGTTTTTTTCTGTATAGTTATGGAATATGTAATTGTGAAGTATAATTTGTATATTGATAGGTTTTTTTTTGTATACTTAGTGGGAAGATGAAGATGTTTTGTTCATTAATGTTTTTTTTCCATTGCATATGCTATGTGCCCCTATGTATCTGTCATATTGGTTGTGATATTGAAATTTTTTCATGCATCCCTTAATGATATTCAATGATTATATCGATGAACTCTCAGTACCAATAGTCAGTACCACTAGGTGATAATGTTCGGTATCACTCGGTACTAATGCTCGGTACCTCTAAATAAGCAATATTAAATAACTATGTATTTCTTGATGAAATTTGTTTCATCTGAATAAATATGACTAATACATAGTGGTACTAGACATAACGTTTCACTTAATGATATTCAATGTTGATACCGTTGAACTCTCATTATAAATGCTCGGTACAGCCTGGTACCAATGCTCGGTATCGCTAGATACTGGTTGGTACCTCTCAAATAGCAATACTAAATAACTATGCATTTGATAATTAGATTTATTTCATATAAATAAATAAGATTGAAACATCGTGGTACCAAACATAATTATACCCTAAATGATCTTAAATGTTGAGACCAATGAAATCTCAGTACCAATGCTTGGTATCGCTCGGTACCAATGCTCAGTGCTGCTCGGTAACAATGCTCAATACCGCTCGGTACTAATGCATGATACCGCTCAGTACTAAGGGGCACCAAATGGTACCGAGTAGCACCAAGAAACTAAGACATACAAAGAAGCTGAGAAAGATTAAAAGTTTTTATAATACATAGTTATGAAAAATATGAGAAAGCTTTGAAATGAACAAAAATATCACTGAAAATCATGGAGTGCAATAGGCTGTTCTTTTACAACTGCAAATCATGTAGCACAAATGACTTAAAATTTTTGAAGAGAAGCAGAACATCAAAATTACTCTTATGATAAAAATTTGTTCCGGGCGCAGTGCCCCAGGAACCCCCAACATAATCACTAAATGTAAAAAAAAACTATCTTTCATGCAACATGTTCTTGTTTCAACATTAGCTATTCCTCTTCCTCTTCCTAAATGTTTGCATAGCATCATCTTTATTACCTTTTTTTTTTCTCCAAACCATTCATCATCTTCATCAGCTTTTCCGCATTTCTTCTTTCTAAGCAGCTATGAAAATGTATTTTTAGCTGAAATCCTAAAAATTATGGAAGATTCACGGAATTTCAATTAAAAAAATTGCAAATTCAAATACTAAATTCAAACATGAATATTTGAGAGCGGGTCAATCGGGCTCCTAAGATAAAAATAAAAATTAAATAGGAATTAATATTCACGTTTATATGCCAAGTGTCTCAATTTTATTGGACTCCAGATATAGAGCTATGTCTAGACTCTGCACCTAATAATCCCCTTCAGGCTACCTATTTCAAGTGCTAAAAAAAGAGTGATGATTGGGAAAGACCATCTAGCACTTAAAAGAGCTTGAATCCAATGGATCAGCCTACCTCTCCAGCACACTTGAGAACATGATTGGCTGCCATACACAAGAGAACATGAAAAGGGGAGATACATGTGGGTGCATTTTTCCTTGAGCCATCTAATCAAAATTTTTTTTAATAGATATATGGAGTGTCATCATAGAACTATATTAAAATGTGCATCACTCATTTTGGATGCAAAGGACTGAACCCGGTCAGACAAAATTAAACTTCGTTTAATTCTTTTTTGATGTAATTTCATCCAAAACCAATCTAGTTAGAATTACTTGGCCAATTTAGTCATTCGTGATTGAAGTAATTTGTTGTGTTTATGTTTAATTCAACTTTATTCAACATAATAAGATCCAAATGCCTCCAGATTTAATTTAATCAAAATAAATCTGGCGAATTTGAATTATCTTGAACAATTTTGATTAAATCAGAATGGTTTCAAATCGAATAAGATAGTAACTCTTATTTAAGTATGTATTTTAAAATATCATAGCTGTGATTAGAAAGAAATGAGATAGCAACGCTTCACTTTTTTTCATCATTGGGATTTGACAAGAGAATGTTTGGGCTAAGTTACAAAACATTTCAGGTCGGTTATTAAATATAATAAAGCATATGCAGGACTTAAGATTCATGGGCTTTCTCAGAGAAAATTGCTTACTATGTCTTGTCAGTTGTAAGAAAAAATATTAGTAACTAAGAGAAAAGAACAACATACCTGACTTCATCAACCTTACAGAAAATAATTCTAATGCCAGAAGAACAGGAGCAAGTATAAAAACACATAGCTGCACAAATGTTGTCCTTAAAGAAAATAACAACCATTTGATATTTTTTTTTTTTTTTTTTAGGATTATAGATGGGGAAAATTGCATATATGCAGCTCATGTTTTGGTTTAAAATTTTTGGACAAAAATTTTTTTTTTTTACATAACTCACTTTGGTCTGTTGGTTTGGGAGTTTTGGCTACCAACTAAGAGATTTTCAGTTCGAGCCCTGCGTATTTGTCGTGTGTGAATTTGTCTTAATTGGCCTAAATGTTTTAAAAATAGACTAGATTTTTTAGATAAATTCAATCCAAATCATCTCGTTTTGAGTTCAGTTAGCTTGGTTTACTTGGACTCAAATCAATTAGATTATATCAAATTAAATTTAATTGGACTTATTTGATATAAGTAGATATAGGTCAGTTTGTTATTTTTATTTAATTATTATTATTATTATTATTATTATTATTTATATACATATATTTTTAGAACTTGCTCTTAAAAAAACATATATTTTTAATTTTATATTTTATATTTTATAGATTGTATTTACTGTGATTGTTTGTGTTAATTAAAATTTTTTTGTGGAAATT